TGTCTGGATGTAGACGATCATGGCTCTCCACAGATACCGTTCCTTTATTATATGGGAATTGCAATGTGTCATCTAGATGTAGAAGGTCGTGACACTCCACAGATACCTTTTATTTATTATCTGCAAATTGCCATGTTTCATCAGGATGTAGAAGGTCGTGACACTCCACAGATTTTGTTTAACTTTTGGAAAACTACCATGTGTCAAGATGTAGATGCTAATGGACCTCCACAGATACCTTATCTTTATTATAAGTGAATTGCCAGGTCATGGACGATCATCGCCCTTCACAGTTTTCTTTCTTTGATTATGTGTGAATTGCCGGTTTCATCAATATGTAGATGATCATGGTCCTGCACAGATTTCTTTCCTTTGTTATCTGAATTGCCATAACTCGTCACAATCATGGCTCTCCAAAGATTCCTTTCTTTAGATATCTGTGAATTACTCCACAGATTTCCTTCCTTGGTTATCTGTGAATTACAATGACTCATCTGTATATAGACAATGGCTCTCCACAGATTCCTTCCTTTGTTTATCAGTGAATTTCCATGTCTCATCAAAATGTAAATGATCATGGCTCTCCACACCTTCCTTTTCTTTATTATCTGTGAATTGCCATTTCTCTTCATGATGTAGGTGATCATGGCTCTCCACAGATTCTTTTCTTTGTTTATCTGTCAATTGCCATGACTCATCAGGATGTAGTCAATCATTATTGACTATTACTACTGAATTATGAGTTCATTCATCATTGGGTGCAACATACTCATGACCTTGTGCCAAACTAAGTTAAAGCTTAGTAAACATTTATGGGTGCTTTGTTGTAGGATAATGCATACCTAGCTAGTCCAGTGAACCATTATTGCTGAATTATGAGTTCATTCCTCATTGGATGCCCCATAATTATAACCTTATGCCAGACTAAGCTAAAGCTTGGTAAATATCCCATATTTATAGGTGACTTGGTGTGGGATAATGATGAGCATGCTAGTCTAGTGAACCATTCTTGCTGAATAATATGTTCATACCATATTGGTGCCTCATACTTATGGCCTTGTGCCAAACTAAGCTAACACTTAGAAATGTTTATGACCAACTTTTCACTGGATAATGCTTAGCAAAAATGACTAGTGGATCCTTATTGCTTAATAATGAGTTCACTCCATACTGGAGGCCACCATACTTATGACTTTGTGCCATAGTAAGCTAAAGCTTAGTAAATATTTATGGGTGCCTTGGTGTGAGGTAATAGATACCTAGCTAGTCTAGTGAATCATTAGTGTTGAATAATAAGAATAATAATAATAATTAGTTCATGCTTCACTGTGTGCCACATAATATAAACATGTTAAAATGTAGAGAAATGTGAAAAATTATTATTATATTATATTATATTATATTATGCCATAATACCATACAACCAAAACCCCATGGAAAAAAATGTCTTGGTCTGAAAAAAATCTTTGAATTATATTTCCACCCTGACCAGACTAAACTTAAGATGACTGCATCCAACCATTACAAAGTCTGTCCCCTGTTGTAGAGTGATTTCACAGTGGAGGCTTGTATTCGTACTAAGTCAGTCCTAAAATAGGTTCGACGTACAAAACGTCAGGAACTTCATATAATAAGTACAACACAGAGAAATCTAGTTGTAGTCACTGATACTTTAGTATCCGACTAACGGTCATCCAGCATCGACTCACTGACTGACCCACTCAGCGACTCCTCGTTACTATTACTATTCCTACTTATTATAGGTGGGGGAGTCTATTAACTATAGAATAGGTGTGTTCCACTATAACATCCCCCAAACATAAACAATAATGAACCTAATGATGAGAAAATTAAGAAAACTATTAAAAAAAATAAGGAATAATAAAGTATCACTCGACACTGAAGCTGAACTTTTGAAAATAGTATACTTTCTCCCAGAATTTAAGAACAAGTTCCTCTATTTTACGAAAGAAGTCTGGAATCAGAAATGCAACCCCAAAGATTGGTGTCTATCATGCATTAATGCATTATGGAAAGAGAAAGGTTGCCCTCAAGACCCTCACACAGAGATATCTCAACTGGATCCATCATGGTGACAGTATTAATGAACATTATATTAATCAGGAAGCACAGTGGAGTAATGGATAGTGGCTTGGATTGAGGAATTGAAAAACTGAGTTCGAATTCCAGTCAAATCCATTATATTCACTTAGGTGCTAATACCCTTGGGAAAGATATGAATCCTTTTCTCCCCCCCCCAAGCCTATGGTTAAATAGCAGGACCAGGTTCTATAGCCTAGGATGGCAACTGGTTTACCGCAAAAACAAATGGCAACCTAATGCCAGGAAAGAAATCTGCCTCGTCAGTCATGTATCAAAAGATACATAATCATCTAAGTGTGTATCACGCATGGCACATAATTGACTGATATTAATCAGGCTCTCATTGTTTTAAAAAAGTCAACTCCTAACAACCCAGGTTTGGTCTTTGTTCTTGAAATGGATGCATCAATAGTATATATGTCATCAAACTCCAAGAAATTGCTTACCTCTCTAATAGGAAACTGTATGCCTGCTTTGTTGATCTCAAAGCAGCATATGACAACATCAATGGTGAGTTTCTCTTTTCACCCATTAGAAAATGCCTTTCAAGCTCTAAATCCACTGAATGTATCAAACTAATAGAGGAAATATATCAGTCTACGGAATCTTACATGTCTGGCAAGGACCCCAATATGGAAACATTTCAGACATCATCAGGAGTACGACAAGGAGGAAATGAGAGCCCTTGTCTATTTAATCTCTTCCTAGAGTACGCCTTCTGCATATACAAACACAGATGTGACGAGATAGCCACTGACCATTTAAACATTACATACCACATCCCAAACGAGTCTACCAATAGATCCTGCTTCCCCCGACCGAAGGTTAATGTACTGATGATGAAGGTGGGGGGGGCACTATACTGATGACATAATTGTTCATTGTTGGGATAAGAATGATCTTGAACAGAAAATCAGCATCCTCTATCAAGTGTTCCAAGAAATGGGATCAAGATAAATCTTTCAAAACAGAAACTATGATCTGGAAATGTGATGAAAGCAGTGATGATACCTACATTGAATCCATCATAAAAATACAGGATGTGTAATTAGTAAATACAAAACACTCCATATACCTTGGCATATGGATCAGCTTTAACAAATTAAGTATAGGAGAAAAAGAAATTGAACATAGAATAAGCTATGCCAGAAGTAGTTTCACACAATACTGCCAATTGCTACAAAACGAAAACGTCAACCTGAAAAGTGCTTTGAACATTATGGACTGGCACTACAGAATCATAAACAAAGAACTGTACCAGATAACAGAAACCCCATTACTTGAGGACTACCAACAGCAGCAACAACTAAAATGAGTATTACATGTAACTCACAGATTCTAATGAACCATTCCTGCTGAATAATGTGTTCATTGCTCATTAGATCTTCCATAATTAAGGCCTTGTGCCAAACTAAACTAAAGCTTATTAAATATTTATGGTCAACTTCTTATGGAATTATGGTTAGTGAGACTGTCTACAGGACAATTACTACTGAATAATAAGTGCCCCATACTTACAACCTTGTGCCAAACTAAGTTAAAGTTTAGTAAATATTTATGGGCATCTTGGTGTGTGATAATGTACAGCTCACTAGTCTAGTGAACCATTCCTGCTGAATTACCTGTTAGGTGCTCCATAATTAGGTCCTTGTGTCAAACTAAGTTAAAGCTTAGTAAATATTTATAAGCACCTTAGAATAAGATAATGATTATCAAGTTTGTTTAGTGGACCATTACTAGTGAATAATGAGTTTATTACTCATTGGGTGCTCCATACTTATGGCCTTGTACCAAACTAAAGTATAGTAAATATTTGTGATTATCTTTGTGTGTGATAATGTATAGTGAGTAGTCTAGTGGGCCATTCCTGCTGAATAATGCACCCAATCCTCATTGGGTGCACCATACATATGGCCTTGTGCCAAACTAAGCTAAAGCTTAATAAATATGACCACCTTGGCATGGGAAGTTTGTCTCGTGGATAATGAATTATTAATAACTCACTGAGTGCTCCATACTTACGGCCATGTGCCAAACTAAGATGAGGCTTAGTAAATATGGGTTGCTTGGCGTGGGATGGTTAGTGAAATAGTCTCCCAGATCATTTCTACTGTACTGAGTAAATGAGTTCTATTCTCACGGAATGCTCCGTAATTTGACCTTGTGCCAAGCTAATAAACAAATCACAAGTGACAAATAAATCTATCTCTAAATATTCTCTCTCGATGTTCTGTAGAGTGAAGAGAGTTAAGAGAAAGAAACGGAGAGAAGTGGATATTAAAAATGGTAAAAATTACGCTTATCAACAGATGGAATAATGGTAAAAAGAAAGAAAAACAAGGAACAAATAAAAGTAAAATAGAAGGTCAATAGAAAAACGAGACTATCGTATGTAGGCGAAAGGGCAGAATCAATTGGAGAAAAAAATGACTGACGAAACATTAAATAATAAAATAAATCATAAATTAAAAAAGAGAAAATGAATGAAGTAAACAGAGTGGGTGGTTAATGACAGTTATTTATAGGGAGAGGGTTAAAACAAAAGAAAAGAAAAAGAGACAATAAGAAGAAAAATAATAATAGATTAGTAATTATTCAATTTAACATTATGAAAGAGAAAGCGATTGATTGATTAACATATTTAAAAAAAAGGCAATGTTGAGTAATAAAATCAATAAGTGTTACAGAGGCGGGAGAAATTGATAAGAATGACATTATTAAAAAAGAGAGGGAGTAGACACGAGAAAGTGAAATAAATTAATAAAAATAAAGAGAATAATAGCACGTTTTTAAAGAGGAGGAAAGGGAGAGGAGAGAAAAGTATTAAGAAGAGAGGGGGGTAAATGGGAGAGAAAAGAAAAGCATTAAGGAGGAAAGAGAGGAGGAAAGGAAAAGTATTAAGAAGAGAGGGAAAGGGGGAGAGGAAAGAAAAACATTAAGAGAGGGGAGAAAAAAGGAGAGAAAAGAAAAGGCATTAAGAAGAGAGAGGAAAGGGAAGAGGAAAGAAACGTATTAAGAAGAGAGGAGGAAACGGGGAGAGAAAAGAAAAGTATTAAGAAGAGAGTGGGGTGAAAAAAGAAAAGTATTAAAAGCGAGTTGGGGAAACAAACTGGAAGAAAGAAAAAGATAAGAATGGATAATAAAGAGAGGGGAGAAATAATAATAGACAGAGTAAAACTGAAGAAAGGGGTAAAAGAAAGAGTGAAAGAGAGGCAAAGTAAGAGAGGAGAGATAACAGCAGATGACAAAAGCACGTGCCGGGTGTGTAGGTGGTTGATGAGAGTGAAGGTTTCTAGCGATGATGGGTGTTTTGGGAAGAGAGAAGAAAATAAAGAGAGCGGAAGTGAAAAAAATGGCAAAACTCGACATTTCTTTGAAATGATAGAAAACTGCTGAATTGTAAACAAAAATTAAGAGGCGACTAACTTAGGAAAGTAAATATGAATAAAGAGAGGGTGAGTTTCTTTAAATTATAGGCAACCGGAGAGAGGGGGATTAAAACTCGTGAGTAGTAGTATGAGAATAAAGTATAAAAGAAGTAGGAGGACAGCTGCTTTGGCTATGTTAATTCTAACAATAAATGACTATCTGACCGTACTAATACTATTTGCAATAATAAATAAATAATCCAACTATCCAATCAAGTAACCATGCTGATACACAACTATTTACAATCTGTGTCTACTATTGAGCCGATCGTTAATTCATTATAGAATTAAGCAAATCGACTATTTGCCCGGCTTATGTAATTAGCTTGAAAACATAATGGCCAGTGTAATGTCAGTCGTTGGAATTAAGCTTAAACATTTAATAAATCTTTTTAGAGCGATATGAACATATTTTCATTCTGTATTTCGGCTGATATTTTAAATTTTAGCAGAGCGATCAATGAACGGGTGATAATCATTTTTTCTATTCGCCCGGTATTTGCTTACACAGATAAAAATAGATATACTTTCTTTTTAAAATGCACGCAAAATCAGTGTCTGTGGGTGATTTTAATAATTTAATCACAAGATTCGTTCTACGAATGAATTTTCTGAATTGCAAAAAAAAAAAAGTGGGGGGCAGCCCATAAATCTTAAATAATTTTTTTTACGTTTTTTGTTTCACTGGACTTTGTCAAGGTTAATAATGGTGGGAACAGCTTGAGATTTTTCAGTTATGCAATACGACTACACTACACAAATTGCAAGTGAGGAGTTGTGCAATTTTAAACGATTACATTTGTTTTAATAATAAATAAATTTAAATATTGATCTTAAAATTTTAAATTATTCTATACTAACAGCTATAATCTTCCCATGGTCAATTTTCTACAGTTGGCTTCAAAATAGGGTTAAATAATGGAAGAGTCACGTGCCCCCCTCCCCATCTATGATACGTGGGGGCTTTCCACTCTACTACATCTCAAATTTCATAAGGTCATATTCATATATAAAATATAGATTCTATTCCAACGTAATTATACACAATAATGGATCATATGCAATATAGGTGAACAATTCAACTAGAAAAATTGAAAATAAATACAATGTATCTAAAAATACAAATTGGAGACATGTCATAATAGATAATTCCATCTTAATAAAATCAACAATGTTTTCTGATAATTTTTAATATCAACTTGAAATTTTTCTTGTTAAAAAGTTGAATAATTTTAACACGTTCAACATTATGGATAAAAAAAATAGTGAATTTTATATAGTGTTTTTTCGAAACTTAGCACAAGCAAAACAAATTCACGGATTTGTACCAAAAAAGAACCCAGAATGACAACAATATCCGCAAAAATTATTCATCCTCTAATAGCCAGTTGTGCTTAGTTTAATTTGTAATGTATATAGATGTAGGTAGGAAAAAGCAAATGTTGATAAGGTAGCAAGAGTCAGAAAGCACTATCCTCCCCTCCTCCCAGTTAGGGGGGTTGGGAGTGGTATGCAGTGGGCTCTAGGGTTAGAGTTTGTCTAAAATATGTAGTACAGTGTAACCCGGATATAAGAGAGTTGTCGGGACTGGAGAAGAAGTCTCTTATATCCGGGTTTCTCTTATATCCGGGTTTGGTCTATTTTATATACATTAACACAGGCTCTAATTTGGGACCAGAGAAAATCTCTTATATCCGGGTTTCTCTTATATCCGGGTTACACTGTATCATTTTCCCATATACAGTGTAACCCGGATATAAGAGAGTTGTCGGGACCGGAGAAGAAGTCTCTTATATCCGGGTTTGGTCTATTATATATACATTAACACAGGCTCTAATTTGGGACCAGAGAAAATCTCTCTTATATCCGGGTTTCTCTTATATCTGGGTCTCTTATATCCGGGTTACACTGTAGTATAACTGAAAAGTGCTAACACTTTTTACTGTCTGAGTTGTAAATTAAAGTAATGTTGTTATTTGGTTGGTTGTTATTTAATGCCAAAAACTAAATATTTTGTATATGCAGTTTTATTTTTTATTTTGGAAACAATAATAGTTTTAGTAATATAAGTCTTACAGCTGGAGGGAAAAGAGGTGAATTCATACCTTTTCCAAGGGTATTTGTGTGTAACTGAATATAACAAACCCAACAGGAATTGGAACTTGGCTCTCCAAATAACAATTCCAAAACATTATCCATTAAACCATTTGCACACCCACGCTTACATCATCTGCTATTCCCAAGTGGTCACTAGGTAATGACCAGACACAGCATTGCTTAACTTTGGTGATCATACGGTATGTTGTTAGGGGGAGAGTGGTTTGTTCAAGTAAGGTTCACTCAACCACTCTCTTCTTCATCAGACATAATGACATGTCAGAAGCAAGACCTTTTTCTCTAAGATTTGGCGATAAGACAAAGTACAAAGCTATAAATCAAGAGCTGAATGTAAGCAAAAAATGTTTGAATGTTGATTTCTGGCTCAGAAAAAAAGTCACCAAAAAAATAAGTTGCTAGGAAATTTGTCCCAGCTTTCCCGCATCAAAGAGTTGAGGTTAAAAATAGGGTTGAGGTTTAAAAATTTGTGAAAAAACGCAAGTAAAACTGGAAGATTAGAGTGGACAAACTCTTTCTTTTAGGCGTGTACGAATAAAGAAAAAACTCCTGCTTGGTGAGTAACAACAAAAGAAGAAAGTGTTTATTTACAACATATACAGAAAAAAAAGGTAATGGGATAAAAGGACAATTAGGAGAGAAAGAAAAGGAAAAAGAGAAAATGTTCTTAACTTAAAAAGGCTTGCTCAAAATATTTCTTTGAGCGCCTAAAGAGTTCTTTAAGCGATTATGTTATTGTTAAAGTTCTGATAGATACACTCACAGTTCTTGTAGAGTAGGAAATTTGTTCGCAGATGAAGGAATCCTGCAACTGAGTGAGTTTTTAGAAGTCCAGTGGGCTCGTCAGAAGGAGTGGTGAAGGGATGCAGCTTTGGATTGGTCTTGAATAGTGAACCAACGTTCATTTTTGACAGCCCTTTTTCTTCTTTGGTGAAAGAGGTGCTGGAGCTTCCTAATGTCAACCTCACAGATGGTGGGCAGAAATCTCACTGTCAAAATAGGCAAGATTCTCCAAATTTATGGAGCTTTGGTAGGCTCTGATGGATCGGGGACTTTTCCCTCCAAAATCGTTGTACAAATTTCCTAGTCCCTCTATTGGTCAGAAAACACATTCTTATCTCTGATAAGAATCAGGGCTCTAGGAGCCGGTTTCAAAGGTACTGAAAACAGGTTGAAGTGAAGAAGCTGTGAGGTTTCTCCCAGACTTTATGGCACCATGGAAAGAATAATGGTGGTGGAATTCCTTTTTATTTTCCAGCTCTCTCCTTAGCCAGAAAATATATTTTTATCTCTGATAAGAATCAAGACTTTGGGAGCCGGTTTTGAAATTAAAAAGATTCCAACAAAGTACCTTATTGGATGCCCCCAGGTTTTGGCATGGAATATTTAGGAAAAAAAATGCACACATCACAACCAAAAAAATCAAAATTATAACCTTACTGTTATGTGACTTTCTCACTAACCATGAAGATACACTTACAGTATTAGCACAAATTATGCTACTGGTACTTTTTTTAAATAGAAATAGGGTAAGGTTTAATTACCAGGGCATTTTTTGGAAAAGAAAAATTTTAGTACATTTCATCATGCATCTATTGAAAATTGTTTTAGTTGTTTTTCGGGGAGCAATATCTGCATATACAGTAAATTCATAATAGCTACAAAGAAATCTACTGGTATCAGTGAACACTGGTATACATGGTAATAGACAAAAACCAGAAATATGGTACTTGTTGGTAAATGCAGAAAAGCAAATTCCAGTACCTATACATCTATAAAAACACACTCAAAGCAAACAGCAATGTACCAGTCAAAGCAAATATTTCAGTAAAATCTAATATTTCTACAAAACAAACGGCAAAACATTGTGCAATTCCATAAATTTCTTAATTTCCTGGGTGAATTTTTTAAGGGATATTTTTATTGATATCATATTTGTTCACTTCAATGATTCCTAGTTTCAGAGCTAAGCTCTGTGCGTGCACTGATCCCTGGTGAACCCACTTTTTCGTGGTCTTCATGTCCCATTCATACATGATACTGCTGTAATGGATGCAGAGATGATCCCTGGTGAACCCCACTTTTTCATGGCCTTCATGTCCCATTCATACATGATACTGCTGTAATGGATGCAGAGATGATCCCTGGTGAACCCCACTTTTTCGTGGCCTTCATGTCCCATTCATACATGATACTGCTGTAATGGATGCAGAGATGATCCCTGGTGAACCCCACTTTTCGTTTCATGTCCCATTCATGATCCCAATGGATGCATGATCATGAACCCCACTTTTTCGCCTTCATGTCCCATTCATGGATGGATGCAGAGATGATCCCTGGTGAACCCCACTTTTTCGTGGCCTTCATGTCCCATTCATACATGATACTGCTGTAATGGATGCAGAGATGATCCCTGGTGAACCCCACTTTTTCGTGGCTGTCCCAATGATACTGCTGTAATGGATGCAGAGATGATCCCTGGTGAACCCCACTTTTTCGTGGCCTTCATGTCCCATTCATACATGATACTGCTGTAATGGATGCAGAGATGATCCCTGGTGAACCCCACTTTTTCGTGGCCTTCATGTCCCATTCATACATGATACTGCTGTAATGGATGCAGAGATGATCCCTTGAACCCCATTTTTCGTCCCATTCCCATTCATACATGATACTGCTGTAATGGATGCAGAGAAATTTTTGGGTGCATCATTTTGGAAAACGTCTATGTCCAATAGACAGGCAAATACGGTAGTCATTTATTTAATTTAAAAGTAAGCAATATATTTAATAAAATAAATAATTTTAATTCATTTACTTTATAGTTAAAAAATAATATTTTTAATTTA